CCCCAAAACCCCAAAACCCCAAAACCCCAAGGCATTATTAAATAATTGATTGAAAGCATAATATAACAATGAGCTCTCCAAGCGCTCGCTTACAAAACAATGGATTTAACAGGTAAAGTTTAACTATAATAGTTTAATTAAATATCATTTGGTTTGTAAAGATTTCGGTTTATTAAAATCAGCTAATATGCCATTGATACAAGGGATTCTTCAGAAACTTTAATAAAAAAGTGAGAAAAATAAGTATCTAAGACTACTTTGATTTTAATATTTTCGATAATGTTAGGTGCGTTGCATCCCACTTTCCTTTGTTTTAATAACCCTTATTTCAATAAGATTTCCCTTTGGTATAAATACAAGAATTTTGAATATTTTAAACTCTTTCCATTAGTTCATTTAAAAATTAACTCTAAAATAAGCTAAGAAAAAGAGAAGAAATTAAAACGAAACATTGAATATTTAGTTCTAAATAACTAAGCAGGTTCTCTTCTAGTTCTTCCAATGTATTTCATAGTTTGCTATTTTACCTCCTATTTCTATGCCCAACTGTTAAATAAGCATATGGATATATTTTTCATGAACAGTTTCCACAAATGTTGCAGAGAGCCTATTCATAAGTCACTCTATTAACTATTAAGAAACAATTCGGTTCTGCGTAATTATATACGCCAAAAGTTACTAGAGAATATTCCTGTTGCATGAGAGACCCAATGTTGCCAGAACTTTGGGGATTACATGAGGCTTAAGTAGCTTAATAGTTTTGACCATTTTTCTCTCATAATTCACGGAAGAGTTTAAATTGGAAATATCTTCAGCGATATTTTATTAATTGTAAGAAATTTATAGTGTTTATAGAGATCATTCGTCTTTACTGTGATCTATTTCGTATCGAGTGCATTTATGAGAACCCGATATTAAACTCTTTGGAAATCTGATACTTCGTTTAACTTTACCACAATCTGCATGGGTCAAAAGAAAAATGTTCGATTAAGACAACTTTCTGACTAAAAGTTAGGATTTGCTATTTTGCTTATTAGGAGCTAATCTATAAAATTAAGAAATTTTTTTGAGCTTACATACGCTTTTAAGCAAAGATTGGTGAGGAGATGTTTAGTTTTACGAATTTTGGTGAAATTATATAAAAATTTCCCAAACATTACTAACAGTCTTGATAGTTAAAATTTTGATGAGAAGAGATTCATATGTTTATTAGAAACAACCTAAAATATTCATTCTCTACTCTAAGATCTTACTGAAAGTATGGTCTAGATTTGTCCTCAAAGGCTATGTTGGCAAAGGAAATAATGAGAGAAATAACAAGATCAAATATTCATTGAAGATCCTTGATGAGGAACATAAAAATAAGAAAAGAATTCCAACAGGCTTACAGTTTCAAGAATACAATGTCCTTCAGGTAATATGAGAAAGTTAGATTATAGCTTATTAAGATTAATGAATGTAAAGATGAGATTAGAAGTCTTATTAAACCTCTGAAAAGATCAAAGAAGCTGGTCTTAAGCAAGCATTCCATTTTTAGAAGTTATGTCTATGAAAAATTAGTAATTGCTAAAGAAAAGGAATCAAAAGTTAAAAGAGATCATAAGCATAATATCAGGCTCAGACTACTTGATGATATACCGTTTTATCATCTTCTATGACGCGAGTTTAAAATGAAAAATAAAAATAAATCCAGGCATACGAGATTTAAATCAAAAGTAATTTTTAGTCAGCTTGTTTTAACTACTTTGCTCTAGAAACATAGCTCAATGAAAAATTCCCAAGAGAGAAAATTATCGGTAAGAAATTTTGAATTTCCTTCAAGTTTACTAAGTTGCATAGAGTACTACTGAGCTTCAATCATTAATGAATGATCTGAGGAAGGCAAACAGAATAAAATAAACTTAATAAAGAAAATAGAGACATAAAAATAGCTCCAAAGGTACTTTCTCAGTAAATCTAATCAATAGGTCGATGTGGTACTTGAATCAGTCAAAGAGTATCAGAAGAGTCAGGATGAAGAGATAAAGAGTAAATTAAAGAAAAGTACAGCAATGAACAAGTTTATCTCTGCTAAATAATATGCAAAATGATCCTCAGAGTCTTATAGCTGGTAGCTCGAAGGATATTATCAACATTACTTTGGAAAATTCTCCTAAAAGTAAAAGAAATATTATAGAAAGTAAGGCTTCTATTCGGTTAATCTATAGGCACCAAAAATATCAAAATTATGCCAATTCCTATGTCTAGGAAACCAAAGAAATCTTTTGTTAAGGTTGAAAGCTTTAGTGTTGCCTCTATCGTAGACTTACTGGACTCAGATGACGGAAGTTTAGCAAAGAACAAATAAATTAAATGATATTATTAGCTCTGACAAGAAGCAAAGTGATTCGGAGGTTATAATGAACCAACCTTGTGAAGAAGATGGTAAGACTCTTCCAAAGTAGCAATTTTTACTTAAAACTTTTAAATTTAGAATCTCAGAAGAGATTGGCAATGTCAGAAAATAGACAATCCTTATCTTCATCAAAGTGAGTACACTTTCAGAACTATTTGAGTTTCCTAGAGTTGCCTCATATTGAACACTTTTAGCTTTGTAATTATATTCTAAAAGAGTTTTAATAGTTATATTTAAATATTTTACCTTTAGAACATATGTAATTATGATGTAAGCTTAATGAGGATAGGATTTCTACATAAATTTTGCTATTAATTAAGTTGAAAAGCAAAGGCTAAGCATCAGTTGCTTTTATACAATTTATTTAATAAGAACCCTGATTATTTTGAGCTGAGTCCTAACTCTCTTTCTTAAGCAGATAAACTTAGTATTTTTTATTGAATTTGAATTTAATTCTTTTCTTATACGAAAATTAGTATTCAGAAAAAAATTTATTCTAAAGTCTAGAAATAAATTCAGTGGCTTATTTGGTAACATTACGCAAATGCTCATTTTGATAGATTCTATAATTTTTATATAGGAACACTGGTGAAAGAAGTGATTCAATGAAGAAACAGGCCAATAAATCAAAGTTTTGTCATGGAAAAACAAGATTTTAGCAAAGATTTTTCTAGCCAAGAGAGTGACTTGAATATGGAAAAGAAGCAACTAGTACTACCTAAGATGAATAAATGGAGAAATGCTTTAGTTAACAAAGCATTAAATCAGACAATGCAGATAAAAAGGAGAAGAATTACTAGGTAATTTTCTGATAAATTCTTTAGGAGTATTGATATCGAAGAATCTAAGCAACTTAACTCTTACAAAAAGAGGACATCGAAAAAGAGAAAGAAACTAAACATGAGAAATAGAAGCATTGACGATTCTTTTATTAGATTGGTAAAAACAAGGAAAAGAAGAATATTCACTCAGATCGATTTTAGTAAAATTCTGGCTTGTTCTGATCCTCCCAGTAATCTCAAGAAGTTGGTAAAAAGAAGAAAGTTCCGTAAAAATTGTCATAAATAATTAAATCCCCTTGAATTTATGAAAGAAAGTGCATTAGCTTCTATTATTCTTTAAATAAATGGGGTTTTGGGGTTTTGGGGTTTTGGGGTTTTGGGG